AAACCCCAAAACCCCAAAACCCCAAAACCCCATAAAGATAAATTAGCCTTTATTTTAGAGGATGCATTAAAATTTAACTTTTTCAAAAGAATATAATAAACTTTTGAATTTACCAAAAATAAATTTTTAAGGCTCACATTTCTGTTTCGTAAATGTTCTATGATATGGTAAGCAAATTTGTATTAGAAATAGACTACATATTACTCTTGAGCCTATTCTATGTTTCAACTTAGTCTAATTCAGTACTTTTACCTCTAAATCTATTGAGAACTCTTCTCATTTTTACTACTCTTGTAAATACAGACTTAAGATCTTTGTCTGTGATTACAATCTTTTGTTTCTTCATTTCTGGCATCATATCCGTGCCGTCTTTAGTCAACCACATATGCTTCGTTATTTCTGTTAGAGTTATTCTCTTAGCTGGGTCTTTTATAAATATTTTTTCTAGAAGATCTCTAATTTACACATTTTGAATTAAATCAAGGTCAGGAGTGTCGTTAACAATTTGTGTCTGCAACTCTTAAATTCTATTTGACATAAATGGAAATTTTTTTGTCAGCATATAGTAAAGAGTGACCCCACATGCCCAAATATCTGCTGGTTTTCCTTTGTAAGTATTACCTAAGATAATTTCTGGACTAAAATAAAAATTAGATCCAGCTCTATTATTGATAGTATCGTGTCCATTTTCCATTATATGACTAACTCCAAAATCAGCCAATCTAACTCTGTTATTCTCATCTATTAGAATATTTTCTGGTTTAATATCCCTATGAATAACTTATGCACAATCATGACAGTATTCTAGTGCACTTATCAAATCTCTAAAATAAAATCTAATCTCTTCCTCTGTTAATGGCTTCTTCCCATTTATTTTCTAAGCCAAACTTCCTTGCAGCAATTCTGTAATTAAATAAAGTTTGTCCATTTCAGCTTCATTTATAATTTCATACAAAGCTAAGACGTTTGGATGATCCTAAATTTTTATTAACATAAAAAATTTACAAGTTTTTTAAGAACAGCCATTTCAGTCTCTAGAAAGTTTTAAGCTTTCTTTTTTGAGAAATTAAACTATCTGTTCAGTTTCTTTTTTTTAATAATCTTCATTGCATAGGTTTTATTATCATTTTCATTATTGCATTCATAAACCTTAGCAAAGTTTCCTCTATTAAAATTAAGAAAAAAATTCTTACGATCCTATGCATTTCTGTAATATGTATTGATTAATCTTCTTTTTACCGTTTTTCCTAGTTGAAACTACACTATTAGTTGTGATACTTCTCGGCCCTGTTTTTCTTTAGACTGGATCATCTAAGTTTTATAGATTTTCTGGTGTTAATAGGAGTGATGTATTTTATATAGCAGGACTGTTTTAATTCATAGTCAACACATTCCTCAGAAAATTTCCTTGATTCTAGCCAGCCGTATCTTTGTCAATAACCCCAATATCTTGAGATTTTGATCTTAAAACTATATTGTCTATTCCACTAGCCATCACACTACCTTAAATGCCTAAAATTTTATACCAAAATTAAATTATACTTAGGAGTTACATATTTTTCGCCCTATCTTTGTCTTTGTCATCAAGAGTATTATTCTCAAGACTAAGATCTGATGCCTTTCTATTATCATTATTTGCTTCTTAATGTCTTGTATCAAAAGATAATTATGATGAATGCTTTGAGGCATATGATCCATGAGGAATATTTGACTAACTTTATTCCTATTGCTTTCTAATTCTCTTTATTAATTTAATCCCTAATTTAATGTAATTAAGCTATTAAAGTTACTTTGATGACTTTCTAAACTTCCTTTATTACCATTCATTGGAGATAAACTTGATGAGTTAATCGTACCATCTCTTTGTAGCTTATCCATGAAAGTTGATGTATCACTCTTATCCATATCTATCTCATATGTCTCCATACTGACTTCCGAATCAAAATTTTGGCTATCATCTTCTTCATATTCATCTTCATAGGAAAATGAGTCATAAAAGGATTCATACGCAAATCCCTTACTCACACTTATACTTTCATATTCAGATCTATTAGAAGACTTGAAAGAATATTACTGGGCCATGTGATTGGAAATTTTTGCTAATGATTCCTAGAATTAGAAGTCATGATTTTCTTTGTTTCTTCTCTAGGACACTTCATAAGTTGTATTATTTTGATGTTTTCTGATTTTTCTTTAAGAATTCGGTGATTACCTTGATTCACTTGATTGTTTTCTTCTAATATCTAAATGATTGATATTATTTGGACTTCCAATTGGAGTTTCAGGTTAACCAGGATATAACTTTTTGATGAAACTACTCTACCTTTCATTTTTATTAATCTTTGTCTAGATATTTATGAAAGGTATTAATATTTCACCAAAACCTGGAGTAACCTAAGACTCCAGCTTGAACGACTCTTTTTTCTCTAGTTTTGACTGCTAAGATCAAAACAATCCTCTGACAAATACAGTGTTACTATAGCCTATCCCAACACCTCTTTATTTATCCTAGGTATCAAGAAGCTCTTGATTTTTCCTCCTTATTTAAGATATCATGTTTTTCGTTCTAGATATTGTCATAATATCTTATTCTAGCGACTTAATCTTTTAGAAAGCACTTGCTGCCTTCTTGCTAATGCTTGATTCCTACCTTTGAATAGGAATATTATGGATTAAACTGGTCTGTGTTTATAAGTCATCATACATTTTTTATTCTTCATCAGTTTTGTATCTCTCCATAGTGCTATTATTCGTCTGTTAAGAATTCTGCTACTATCTACTTTAATTTGAGATTGAATGATGTCTGTCTGATAGGAGATATTTGTCGAGAGATATTATATCTTGCTGTTTTTCATTGTCATTTTTAACACTTTATTCTCTATCTTGATTTTGTTGATTCTTCTCCTCCTCCTCATTAACCTCCATAATAGTTTTAATTCTTTTTACCCCAATTGAAACATTTGCAGTCTGTTCGTCTTATTTAGCCATATTCTGCTATGCATCTATCTATGGAGAAAACTCCTTTTTACGTTTAGGCCTTACTGGGATAAGTACATTGTTTACTAATTTGTAATATACTCGATGCTTAGGAAGAGCATTTTTAGAGATTAATGACTTTTCATTAGCTGTCTTAATTGAGTCACTTGATCCAAGTTATGTTTACAAAAAACTAGCTTTTCTATCTTTAGAACCAATCTTTTTCCTGACATTTTTAGATGTTCCTCCAATAATTATAGGCTTACTCCCATGATAAATTATATGCTACTGAGACTAATCGTCCTTTTACTTTAAAGATATTTCACATAGCTAATCTTTCTTGCGCTATTTTTGCTTTAATAATCTCTTCCTATCACTATCATCTGCATTTTTGAAGGTTGATGGTATATATCCTATTTCTGAGAAATTATCTTCTTCTGGAGCTCTGATGATGATATCTGGAGATCCATTACTCGAGAAAGTGTCTCTCTATATATACCTGAAATGCTCTGCAAAAGTTTAATCCTTTCTTTTTCCTTAAAACTTTATATTGAATTTTAATGGATGGTGCTACTAATAGTTACTCGAAAAAATTTCTTCTTCCCTCATAGATGAGTCTTCTGAAACAAAGAAACTAGGGTTATTAATAGTATGCGTGACTGAGTTATGCTCAGTGTTTAAATTTTCTGTAAATAAATTCTCCTTTCTAAAAAGAGGTTAATTTTCAGTTATCTGATATAAATTCTTCTGACTATTAGGAAAGAGCTGTATCTTTTGGACATTATTGCTACTTCGCTTCCTAAAGTTTTTCACTACCAACTCTGATTAGTCTGAAAAGTCTTAGTTTTCAACATTTTTCTCATTTATTCTAGAAAGTTCATCCTCTACTACCCTAACATTATCAATAACTATCATATTCTAGTTTTTGCTACTTTTACCGCTACTTCTTCGTCTTTAATTTATCTCGTTGTTTTGAATTTCATTCATAGAATTGTCTCCTGCTGGTATAGTTGTCCTCACTTCTTAATTTTTTGAAGACCCAGATGATATGAGAATTTAGTTGTTCATTTATTTATCGGCATTCATGCTTGAGTTGAAAAAGGCTGCTGTCATTTAAGATTTACCAACTGAACTAATCATTTCATTAAACATTTTAGCTGGATATGATTCCCCAGAGTGCTCCCGCTCTAACAGCTTTAACGTTTGAAATACTCGCTGAGGTGAAGCACTGCTCTTCCTTTTATTCAAAGTTATCTTGCCGATAGATTAACAATTTACTTCAGTGTCAACTTAATTAGTTAGAAGAAGTCTCGCTTCTGAATCTTTTAGGGTAAATCTGTTTGCCTAAATATGTTTAGCTTGATAAAGCTAATGCTGCTGATCTGATAAAGGATGAAGTGCAGGGGATAGTTAATAAATAGACTATCATTTTTAATTTTACAATGTATTCAACTACTATTATTGCTACTACTACTGTAAGTTGATCTTGACTCTGCCACTTGATTTATGATATGGTGAGAAATATACAGGGAAACCATCTTTCCCTATTGATTGAATCTATTGGCTATTCTCACCATTTTATTTTTTCCTGGAATTCGGGGAATTCTTAAGAGTGTTGCTTTGTCCATTTCTCTCTTTGACTTTTACGAATTTCTCTTGGAACTAGTTATCATATTAAATGAGGTAATCCTATATAGATGATCAAATTTCTTTGTTGTTCTGTTTTGTATTCACTAATTAGATGCTTCTTCTCCGAGTAAAGTAAAATTAGGAGATCTGCCTTGAATTATTGTCTGATTGCTCTAATCTATAAGTTTATTAAAAGGGAATTTATGGGTTAATTGAATTTTACAATTGATTTTTCAAATTGAAATTATTGTTTGGCTTAGTATTAATTGATTAGGGCTTTTCCTGTTCAATTACTGAAATATCAACTTTATCGCTATGACTAAATAGAAGATGATCTAAGTCCATTGAAATATCTTACCTTATTTATGCTTTAGTATGTTGAACACTAGCACAACATTTACACGATATAACTCCCATTAGTTTTAAAAGCAATATTAAATTTTCTATCAAATTAATAAATTCGGGCATATATTTAAACAATTTGTCATTATCATTAAATCTCATATATTAGTGTCCAGGGGTTTTGGGGTTTTGGGG